TAGTGAGTTTATATGTGTGAGGAAATTGTCGATATGTTCCGATTTCAACACAGTAAATGTGTTATCCACATATAGCCACCAGACGTTGGGTGCAGGACTAAACGTTTATAACCATGTTTTCCCAACTATCCATAAATATATCTGCTAAGATCGGGGATATTGGCGATCCCATTGCTACTCCTTCTGTTTATCCATATTTTGTCGGAAAACTGCAAGACTGTGGAGGTCGGGCACAACTGTACACATATTATAATTTCATCAACCGATATCTTAATTTTATGAGTAAGTTCTGAGCCAATATTAGTTGATTTCTGACTGTCTCGAGTCCCATAATGATTGATATTTTAGTATAAAGACTTGTTACATTGAAGGTAACCATTTTTCATACTCTTTTATATTTATTTCATTAAGCTTTAGTTTTAAATCGCAAGCACTGACTGGTCTAGAATTCGAAATGGTTCCTAATAGGACATAATATTGATGGTAATTACGCTGACAACCAAGCATATACAACACACGACCTATTCATATCATATGGTTAGGTTTTACAACCTCATTAACCCATAAATCTACTGTATAAGACCCCGTGTTGTTTTCAAAGTAGTTTTATGAGACATACGTCAAGAAAGCACGGTACAATAATCTTTTAATTAGTATTTAAATTATCCACTGGTGTTAGAAGTGATGAAAACTAGTCAGGCTTTCAGTATCCATACTGGTTAACAAATGAATTACCAAATGAACCATCCAACTCAACTGGTGATATAATTCTGATATCACTTTGAACAGATCATTTAGGTGACTATGTAGGAAAATCAGAACCAACAATTTAAAGAAATGGCACTTAAAATGAAAATCAAGGGTAATTCAAGTATGTATCCATTTCGTCTGAATTAATCATTTTGTTGTGTCACAACTACAGTCTGAGGAAAGGTTACAGTCATAAAACACCAACATTGGAACTACTTAGTAGTGACAAAGCCAATGGGAAAACATTTGCAAATATTTCCTACATCTCGCTCAAATTCAAACTAATTGGTCATACCATGATTTAAACAGTTGAAATTCGTTCAACATATTAGTAACTTAGTGAATAACACTGGCGTTTTAAGTGGTAGATGCCAGGCTTAAGTCTCACTTAAATTTAGATAAATTCATCCGCAGAGCCTGAATGAAGCAAAATATATGTATAATATTATGCTCCTGGTCACCATCAGAAGAATAATATCAAATTTAGTTCTCTAAAACCAATGGTTAGTCTGCAGTGAAACACAAGTAGAAGTTTTGCATTAATGGTGGGTAATGGCTAGTAGTGGAATCCAGGACACACGTTCCGTTCTTTTGGTGACTTGTCAGCTGGAAGTGTCTGCTTTCCAGTGAGCAAAATACGGGTATTCTGGAGGCATCCGCACAAGAGCCTATATACCAAAAGACACTAATTAGTTCGGTCCAGTCAACAACTAGGTAATACAAGTAACAACATAAAAGCTATACCGCTGGTACTAGAAGTGTTTATAAAGACTCAATGGCCTAGAGGATAACGCTTTAGAGTTTGAAGAGATCGGTCTTAGGCTAGAATCTTAGTGGGAGCAACACCGCTCACTGGGAGGCAGATACATCCAGATGACGAGTTCCAGATAGGGTGAAACCTGCGTCCCAGACTCCATTGCTAACCACTATCCATCATCAATATGATATCAAAACACAGACAACACTGAGACATCCCATCAGGAGCCCATATGCAACAGAGACCTACCGATTTGGTCCAGTCAACTACGGGATAATACAAGCAACAGAAATTTTTGACTAACCAGACTGTGGATTACATAATGACATAGCATCATTTATTGATATGAAAGTTGATAACATGTTTTTTGAAGAAATCAACTGACTTTATATTGTTACGATTTCCAGAAAGAAAGAAAAAGGGAAAGGGAGAGGGTGAGTAAAAACATATTTTCCTAACTATCCTATTTTTCTAATCTGAATGTTTGGTAAAATGTAATGAATTAACAATATACAGAGAGGTGAAAATGACAAGATCATGTAATCAATTATATCTTTCTTATTGACTAAGTAAGCCATTCTAATCTATAGATTACTTCGATTCAAGTGTTTAATATATCCGTCACTAGAAGATGAAATGTACACCCTTGTCAGGTAACAATAACTAGCCAACATATATGTTCTGATAATAAACTGGATTGATCGGTTGTTTAAACAGCTTTCACGTAGAAATTAGAATTTTGTGACTTATGATTTAAAATTCAAGTTCTTTTCAGAAAGAAATAACTTTAAAGACTATCCTAGAAAAGGTTGAAATGACCAAATCGCTTTCTTTATTTCTACTTCTTAAAATACAGGACCTTAATTGATTACTTCAGTAGTTGTTAAAGTGGTTTATACATTCACTCTTCGAAAATAAAAACGTTTTGGCAGAACAAATAAACTGAATTTCATTTCATTTAGGTTCATGCTGTAGGCTATGAACCACATAGATTGCTTCATCGCTTATGGTATTAACTGGCTACTTTTTGTAACCAGTTATATGTTTGTAAAACATAATTGGATTGTGATTCCCAGATGTGAAATTCTCGCAGACTATAGCAATAGGCCACTAAAAGAACCAAACTCGGAATTTGGAAGATCAACAGCATTCCACATGTTTAAGTATGCAGTGAATAATAACAAATATTAATTAACAGTTAAATTACACCATGAGCAAAACAATTATTCACCACAATTTATAATCAGAACTCACTTATTCTATTACAGTGACACCATGATCGATTTTTCAAGACTAATTTATATCAGAAGTAAAAATTATAAATGTAGACAAGATAACACCATAATATTAAAGCTAGATTACTGGTTTAACCATATGAGATAGCCTTATGTTACGGATATTTCGTCACATGAAGGAATAATAACAGAATTTCAATGAGCTGAGAGTGACAGAAGGATTTATGTAAGCTATCAGACAGATTAAGGATCCACAATGGATCGGCTTACAGCCTAATATTTGCTGTTCTAGAGGGAAGAGCAAACGTTTGACAATACTTTCATAAGACCATATATGGTACCAAGACTATTTTCTAAAATAAATGTTGAATTGCCACGATTTGTTGAT